GAAATCTTAGCATGGTACACAGAAGGTCAGTTATTATTTTTTATATTTAATATCCACAGGCAGGTTATATAAATATGTACAAAGGTAAACTTTTTTCTATTTAATATAAAATAAAAGTAGAAAGAAAACAAAAATACATTTTATCGTTTTGGGCGGTATTGTTTTATCCTGTTTGTCGGACCACACCAAATGTGCCTGCAATCCACCAAGTTCCAGACAAATTAAAAAAAATTATTTTCAGGTTACTTAGAGGTATGGATGTGGGATGGACTCTAACCCTTGGCAATAACCTTTGAAGGTGATACCTCACCTGCTATGAGGAGACTTCCTGCCTCCTGAAGTAGCCATAGGATGTATAGACCAGCATGTTCTGAGTCAGAGTTAGGATATCTGATGCCAGTTCATCATAGTGATCACAGTGAGTCCAAATACCATACAGCTACCACGAGCATGATCCATACAACCATTTAGTCACTTTCTAGGATGGTTAGATTGGCTTAAGCTGCCCACAGACCTTACAATTTATCTGCAGATTTTCTGTGATCAGATGGAAAAGGTGCAACAGATTCCTCCATCTACACTACACTGTGTGGATGGAGTAATCTCCACCTGGGCCAATCTGTTGCACATTTTCAATCTGACCACAGAATATCTGCAGATAAATTGTAAGGTGTATGGGCAGCTTAATACATACAATTTTACATCCACATGAAGCTTGTTGTAAATACTATGGGAAGACTTTCATCTCTTATGATGGATGAAACATATTCCCTCTAATCTTTGAAAAATGTCAAACAATTGCAGACAGTGCGGAGCCCAGCAATAGCCCAGTCAGGAGGACACTTTTGATTGGCTTGTGTCCCCCAGTGAGGCGACAGTTATCTAAGTTTATCTACAGCCACAAGCACCATAGGAGATTCATAAGCCACTAGGTCATAATTCCTTTGATCTCCAGACTAAGGCTGTCTATTCTGAATCCTAAATTGTGAACATTTATCCACTTAACTGACCACTGTACTAAGGAAATATCATCTTACTTCTATATTTAAATTTTAAAGCTGGAATGGTGTGAAGCTAAGAGACATGGGCCACAGGAGAGGTTAGCATAATAGTTCCTCTATTGCAGGGAAGCACCTTTTGCAATTTTTTTTATGTGACTGACAAGGTCACTTTAAAACAGTGGTTGCTTTATTTGTATTATTAAACATTTCATGTATCCACAATTTTCAGTCAAGGAAGTTAGGTAAACTGTATAATTAGAAAGCGAGAGTGATGGCTCATTGTAAATTGTTAGATGACCACATACCCGCTCAGAAGCATTGATCTTGCCTAATATAGGCAGCTGGGAATATCCTATATAAAACAGGGCATATGTATAATTATTCTAATTGTATTGTTGACATCCAAAACATTCCAAATCACAAATTCATGAGCCAGATGTTTAACTATCTAGGATAACAGGCAATTACTTTAAAACAGATTTTTTTTCTGAAGATAAATATCCCATGTGGAACAGTACAAGCAACTGCATTTATTAAAAGACTCTCAATTACTGAAAACAGAAAACCAAGTAAATACAAAATGAAGAACATACAGTATTTTACATTACAACCTTGGCGTGGCAAGATAGCACTTGTCAGTTGAATGCACTAACATTTTTAAAAACTGCACAAGACAAATATTGTCATATTAGTTTTCAACAGAACACCATTTAGGTGACAGCAGTAAATATTCTTTCAAACCAGAATCTCTACATCTTTGTGTACCCAATTGTTAAGAATTATAAAAACTCATCTTCAAATTCCTCTCCTATGTTTGGTTAGACCCTCTTCCACATTCTAAACTCCCTTTAAAAAATATTTTAACTGCTAAAGTGTGGCTGAAGTATATGGCAATATACAGTACGGCAAGCCATATAGTACGGCATATAGTACGGCAAGCCAATACTGATATTGAATCACACTATCTGTGGCACCAGACTTTAGCTTATTATTGCATCAAAACAGCAAAAAACACAGAAATGGCATTAAATGCGTGTAGTTCCTGCAGTGTGGATACTACATGGAGGCTGCACTCTGAAAAACACCTAACCATTCTCTCCCGCAACAGTAAGTTTAAGATACCTATGTAATGTGACAGATTCTCGATTACATTAATTGATGCTAAGCATGTGGTCATCATGATGATTGACTAGACTCATAGTAGACTCATTGGATGCATACTCATAGAGAACACATAGGGGTCTATTTACGAAGCAGCTTCGGCCCCAGGACCCCTTCGGTTCAGTAGAACCGAAGGGTTGCTGTACGGGCTATGCTCTGTGAACCAGGTGCAGCGCTTGCCACAACTTTTGTCAGGGAGCATGCTCACAAAATCCCCAGAATTTTGCTACTGGCAGGACTACGTGTCACATGAGTACTCATCTCAAACTACAAATATGTGTGGTAGTTTTAGTGATATTCTGCTGGTCTTTCCACCCTTACTCTATCAATAGCAGGTGGCCTCATTACATGTCTGGATGCTAGTAAATAATGAAAGTGGTTCATGCAGAGAACTTCCTGTGAGGAAATAATGAAATCACTTCCGTCATATGGCAGCACCCCTTTATCACCTCCCACTAATGCTGATAAACAGCCTCTAGGAATAATATAAATTATGGATAATGCAAAAGGTAGCACAGATAATTGTTACAGATACAAGTGTGCATGCATAAACAATTTTTAACTTGTTTACGAAAAAATTAAAGACTTTAGTTCTGCTTTAAGTAGTGTAAAAGATGAGTGTGTTAAAAAAAATTGTTCTGGGCACTTTTTACACAAAGACCTAAATTAACATACAGGTTTAATTTACATCTGACATGAGTGCAATTTAAGTAGTAAATCATTAGGCCGTGTTCCACTTATGGAAGTGCCCAGGTAATGCTCAGCAGTGTCAAAACCTAGCAGTGGATATAATCTGCATACACACTCTGCTTCTTATTGATCCTGGTGCACCTCCATTCAGTTCAGTGATACAAAGTGGACTTCCCGAGTCCACAAGCGTATACGACTGACACCGCAAACAGTGACATTCCACTGCTCCTCTTCTACTTAATTCCACTCCTATGTACCTGCTTTTCTATATTTTATTTCCTGAGACTTTGCTATGACATACAGCTAAGACGGTTGCACTATTGATGCTCTTTTTTTTGTTTTGTATTATTAGTTTGCATTCTTTTGCTTACTTTTTTTATTCTATTTACTCTTTTATACTCTCTTATGATACAAAATGGTGTATGGCTTTAAACTTAAACTATTTTACTAGATTTGGATAAAGTGGGGAAGAGTATTTAGAGTGGGGAAGAGTTCACAAATTTTACAGTTAGTACATCATTTCCATTGATAACTGTGAAAGGCTGGCCTTTCCACCACTTTGCTCTCACATTCTATTGGGACAAGACAATAATAAGCTAAAGATTAACTGCTTGTTTGTGTCTAAGTTAATAATAAAAAAAAGATATACACACCCAAAGCTCAGAGCTGGCTACTTCTTAGGCCGGCCCATCCAAAGTCTCTCCCCCTCCTCTGTAGCTGTCTAAGGTCCCGTAAATCATCAACATCTATGCACAGTGTATAGACATGAGGACACTGAAGAAGATTACAATACTGCAGGGAGGGGGAGACAGGCTGGAGGGAGTCCTGTGACAGCTGGTCGGCTCAAAGCTTTGGGCGAGTATATCTTTGTTATTTTAGCACCTAGACACAAACGAGCACTTAACCCTTGCAGTGTGGGGGTAGCCCCACTTCAAGGGTTAATTTAAAAATTGTGGAGTTCTTTAAAGGCTAATTCCACCTTCCAACCATATTCCATGTTCCATTCCTATCTATGAGTGTAACGTGGAACATGGTGCCATTCTGCAGCCCCCACCCTCAACCTGCCCACTACTTACCTGAACTGTAGGGTGCTTCTTTTCACATCCTTCTGTATTTTTTTAAATTCAGTGTGGCTGTGCATATTCAGCCCACACAGCAACAGGATCTGTGAATTTAAAAAAACATGTTCCGTCTGGCACTGCCTCATAGTGACTACTCATAGTTCCCAATGGAGTGCTGCACTTGTAGTCCATTGATAACTTTGTCCAGTTCCATAACAGAAGGTCCGCACCTCCATATGAACAGGGGCTGGAGGAATAGTCTGCAGGAGCCTATGCATTGGACCCGCGATCCACTGATCACAGTTGCAATGCTTTGCAGTCTCCAATGCAAAAAAATAATTAATGCATTTTTTTTTTTTTGCAATATGGGTGCTTTTATTCATTTGTTGCAAAAAGTGGAACATGCCTTAAAGTTAGCATAGTAATTAGCAATTTATTGGAAATAGACTGCAGACGTTCTCTGTGCAAAGAGACCTTCTGCACTCTATTTCCAATAAATTGATAGTTATTAACGTGTAAGTGTTTGACCAAAGTGGGGGACACAGAATGACTGTCTCTAGCTTATGGGGCGACTTCAGTAATTTGTGCCAGTGGGCCAACTTGTCCCTTAGGAACAAATGGGTCTGAGGGAACACAGGCTATAGAGGCAGCATGTGTGCTCATTTTAGTAAGTAGTGTTTATTTTATATGCTCTATTCATTTAGCTATTGAACAAAGCTCACACTCTGTGCCACAAACAGGAGAACAGCAGTGTGTACAAAGCAATTGTAGTTACACCACAAGAAAACACTACTGTTTTATATCAGTGAATCTCAACAGTCAAGTACTGAATCTAGTAAACAGTTTAACCAAAAACAATAGAAGATACCTATAAGCATTTACTATTAATTAAAACATAAATTAAGTTTAATTTAAGTAGGAAAACCCCAGCAATAAAGCCGGATACCTTTATACAAGATAGCTTTAAGTTAAATATCAAAGTCATATTCAATTCAGAAGTTTGGTCCAGTGCATCTGTAAATCCATCTGCACATCGACAATGTCCTTGTCCAAATATTAAAAAAGAAAAAACACAGATCTTGCTTTTTTTATGATTTTCAGGCCAGCAAAATAGTGTTTTCCCAAAACCTTTTCTTTGAAGGGAAAAGCAACTCTCTCTGAAAGCATCCACTCTGGCTAGACTTATTATAACCTGACCATAATAGGTTGTCAAATATGTACAGTGTAATAAAAACCAAAGTATTTAAGGGTCGTGTTCTGGCTTAAAAATTTGAAGGGTCGCCATATAAACTGGATGGTTGCTGTGCCTGGTTACCTGCGAGATAAAAGAAAGAAATTGTGAGTATGCAGCAAAGTCATAAACACCACATCTGGAAAGTTCATTCTAAATACTCCTGTTAGTTCACATTTATGTTTGATGAATACGCAGATTTAAATAGTACAGTACAATGTGCCAAATTCCTTCATATTAGTAAATCCTGAAAAATGCTGCATGTGTGTTTGTGTTTATGTGTCCATGTCCGTGTCAGAGACATATATGCAAACTCCAGAAACTGAAAGCAACCACTTCAAAATAATTTTTTACAGATCAAATAACAAACTAAAATTTGATCGCTTGCAGCACATTACTGTATTTGGCCTTACTTCATAAATAATTTTTATTCTTACAGTACCCAAATCATGAGTGAAATATGAAGGGGCTGCCACTATTTGTTCCCTTCTGAAAATGCTAGCTGTATGATTGTTTATGGCTTCACTACATAGTGAGTCACTCTCTTGGACTAATAAAGTCATAGAGAAAAGTGAGGACATCAGTATGACGGCAGGGCAACAAGAACATTTTTGCAAAGTATATTCGAATGAAACTGTAAGGAAATATAAGATGCATTAAACACCAGACACTTACTGTTTGTGTGTATTATCAAGTTCTACATTTTTAAAAGTCACTTAAAGTGACATTAAACCCTCAGATTTTTTAACATAAACCAATACTGTAATGTGTGCCTTACTGTAATCCATGTTTTTTTCCCTTCTCTTTGCTGCTCTTCCTTTTAAATCCTCATGTCTTCTCATGCTGGGCAGAACTTCTGTTTTGCAGCAGACTGCCTTGTCTCTGGAATGGATACATGGTGTCCGTGTGTAAGTTCACAACCTGAGCCAGCACTACAGGAAGAGGCACTCAGCTGCAAAGCGAAGTTGTAAGCACCATGCCCGTTCCACGCATGCGCCAAGTACCGCTAGGCAGAAGAATACGCGCATGCGCACAACGACCACTTCCCACAGAAAGACGCGCAGTATGGCGCACAGGAAGTGATGCGCAGATGGAGCGTGTTCTAAGAAAAATGTGCCAAAGGCGCACAGGAAGTGACATAATAGATTAGTTCACTTCCCTATTTAAACCAAGCCAGCCTGTCACTTACTTGCTGGATTGTCTTATCAGCTCCTGTCTGTGTTGTGTCTCCTGTTTCCTGTCTTGAATATTAGATTGCCGTTGCCTGGATTTTGACCCGTTCCTGCCTCAACTACCTGCCTTGACTGCCGCCTGCCTTTTTGACCCTGGACTGTTTTGATTATTCTTCTGCCTCTTCCTTCGGTACTGCAACTGACCTCCTGGATTTTGACCTCGGCTTGCCTCGACTTTGAATTCTGGATTACCCTTCTACTTGCACGGTTTCATAACTACTGGCACTCGTGCCACTCGGTGTCTGCCTGGCCTCTGTCACCATCCTCAAAGGCTTTTAGACACGAGGTGCAAGGGAAGCCTCCTCAACCATCCAGTCTCCCAGACCAGGTTCGTAATAGTACAATCCAGCCATGTCTGAGACTGAGGGGAGTGCTTCCGCCTTGGAGTCCCTGTGCCAGGAAGTGGCCTCTGTGGCTCAGGCTGTGAAGGAGCTACAAGAGGTATACTTTCAGCTAGAAGGAAGAATGACCGCTATGGCTAATGCGGCTGTATTAGGTCCTGCACCACCCCCAGCAGCTGAGCCGATTCAAGCTCCAGACCAAGCCCAAGGATTGCATGTGCCTGAACCTCGGGTACCAATCCCGGAAAGATTCTCAGGAGATCACCCCAAATTCCGGGCTTTCAGGAATGCCTGTCGGTTGTTTTTTGCATTGCAACCAAAGACCTTCGCTTCGGAGACTGTTAAAGTGGGTTTTGTCATCTCCCTCCTTACAGGTGAACCTCAGTCGTGGGCTCATCAGCTCCTGGAAGGGGAAAGCCCTCTATTGAACTCTCTCAGCACTATGTTCGATGCCATGGCATTACTCTATGATGATCCTCAACATACCTCCACAGCGGAATCTGTTCTCAGCTCCCTTCTCCAAGGACGCCATCTTGTTGAGGATTATGTGGCGGAATTCTGTAAATGGGGAGCTGACACAGCATGGAATGAGGCCGCTCTCAAGCATCAGTTTCGTATAGGATTATCAGAGACCCTGAAGGATGTTTTGGCTCGTGTTTCTGTACCTGAAAACCTGGAAGGGTTGATACAATTATCGATCCAGCTTGATCGTAGATTCAGGAAAAGGAGGAAGGAACGGACTGGGACCGTCCGACCAACTTGGATGACCCCCAAAGCTCCGATTGCTCCACACTTTCGTTCCGCTGAACCACCTGCTGCATCATCCATGCCTGATTCAGAACCCATGCAATTGGGTATGTTAAAGACCCCGTTATCCCCAGAAGAACGTCAACGCCGTCGGCAAAACGGATTATGCCTGTACTGTGGAGGATCGGGGCACTTCCTGAATGAGTGTCCGACTCGTCCTTGTAAGTCTGCTTCTACAGTTTATGTACCTATCAGCCTGTCGCTGTTTCATGGACTATCATTTTGCCCGCTTGCACCAAATTCCTTTGAATACTAAGGCCCAGCCTTTGACCATACAACTTGCTGATGGATCCCCACCAAGTTCGGGTCCTATCACACAAGAGACCTACCCTCTGTTGACATACACAGCACACTACCATCTGGAACTTCTACGGATGGATGTCATATCATGTCCGATGTTCCCCGTAATTCTGGGATTGCCTTGGCTACAAACACATGAGCCTTCAATAAATTGGAATGCAGGAACCATAACCTTCTCTTCTCAATATTGCCTCCAACACTGTTTCGGTTCATCACCCTGTTTTGTTGTACAGCCAGAAAATGCAGAACTTGCCAGATCTGTCCCACCAGCATATCATACCTTTCTAGATGTATTTGATAAAAAGGGAGCTGACACTTTACCACCTCATCGGCCTTATGACTGTCCAATTGAGTTATTACCTGGAGCTGCCATTCCGTTCGGATGGATCTATCCCTTGTCTGAACCTGAACTCGAGACCTTGAGAAAATACATTGAAGAGAATCTCGCCAAGGGGGTTTATTAGACCATCTACCTCGCCAGCCGGAGCTGGCCTCTTTTTTGTCGAAAACAGGGACCACTCCCTTCGGCCTTGCATAGATTATCGGGACTTAAAAAAAATTACCATCAAGAATAGGTACCCACTCCCCATGGTTTTTTACTAAAATGGCCCATTTTGTACCCATGGTGGGTACCCCCTCAGCTCCTGAAACTGCCCGCACTTTCATCCGTGAGATTGTCCATCTCCATGGAGTTCTGGACAACATTGTCTCTGATAGAGGGGTCCAGTTTACCTCGAAATTCTGGAGGGAATTGTGTTCTTCCCTGGGTATCGAGCCTTGGTACTCATCGGCCTATCATCCCCACACCAATGGCCAAACCGAACGGACAAATCAAACATTGGAGCAATATCTGCGGTGCTTTTCCTCCTTCACCCAAGATGATTGGGCTTCGCTTCTTCCATGTGCGGAGTTCGCATACAACAATGCAATACATTCTGCCACGGGTCAAACCCCGTTCTTCGCCAACTTTGGATTTCATCCCTCGTTCTCTCCCGTCCTACCTGCAAATACTTCTCTCCCGTCCATCACGGCCGTATTGCACCAAATTCCTTTGAATACTAAGGCCCAGCCTTTGACCATACAACTTGCTGATGGAAGCCTTTGTCACCCAGGAATCCCTCCACTCCAACCTTGACCTGCTGAAAGGGACCCTCCAGAAAGCCCAGGATGCTTCCAGGATGTATTTTGACCGAAGGCGGAGGGGCAACCTGGAATTGCAGCCCGGGGACAGGGTGTGGTTGTCCACCCTCAACTTGAAGCTCGCCTGTCCTTCAAAGAAGCTGGCTCCTCGTTTCATAGGCCCTTTTTCTGTCCTTAGGCGCATCAATCCGGTGGCCTACGAGCTCTGTCTGCCGTCATCGTATAGGATCCATCCAGTCTTCCATGTGGCCCTCCTGAAGCCTGTGGTACCGAACACCTTCGGTGACCGGGGTGCTGCGCCACCGACCCCCCTGCTAGTCGATGGTGCGGAAGAGTACGAGGTGGAAGCCATATTGGATTGTCGTGGGAGGGGTCCGTCCCGGCGTTTCCTCATCAAATGGAAGGGATATGGGCCGGAGGAGAACTCCTGGGAACCTGCTGCCAATGTTCATGCTCCAGCCCTGATTCGGAAATTCCTGCAGAAATTTCCTCCTCATCGTGCCCAAATGGGCATCCGGAGGCTCCCCATCGGAGGGGGGCACTGTAAGCACCATGCCCGTTCCACGCATGCGCCAAGTACCGCTAGGCAGAAGAATACGCGCATGCGCACAACGACCACTTCCCACAGAAAGACGCGCAGTATGGCGCACAGGAAGTGATGCGCAGATGGAGCGTGTTCTAAGAAAAATGTGCCAAAGGCGCACAGGAAGTGATGCGCAGATGGAGCGTGTTCTAAGAAAAATGTGCCAAAGGCGCACAGGAAGTGACATAATTGATTAGTTCACTTCCCTATTTAAACCAAGCCAGCCTGTCACTTACTTGCTGGATTGTCTTATCAGCTCCTGTCTGTGTTGTGTCTCCTGTTTCCTGTCTTGAATATTAGATTGCCGTTGCCTGGATTTTGACCCGTTCCTGCCTCAACTACCTGCCTTGACTGCCGCCTGCCTTTTTGACCCTGGACTGTTTTGATTATTCTTCTGCCTCTTCCTTCGGTACTGCAACTGACCTCCTGGATTTTGACCTCGGCTTGCCTCGACTTTGAATTCTGGATTACCCTTCTACTTGCACGGTTTCATAACTACTGGCACTCGTGCCACTCGGTGTCTGCCTGGCTTCTGTCACCATCCTCAAAGGCTTTTAGACACGAGGTGCAAGGGAAGCCTCCTCAACCATCGAGTCTCCCAGATCAGGTTCGTAATAGAAGTTCTCCCCAAGCATGAAAAGACATGAGGATTTAAAAGGAAGAGCAGCAAAGAGAAGGGAA